AACACTCGGAGATGTTTCTCCGCCGCTCTGCATACGTCATCTCCTTCATCGCTCTGATTGGTTTTAGGTCTACCCGCGACGTCCGTTGGTGACGCCCCTCTGGAAATGATTTGTCTATGACGCTTTGCCAGACCATAACTCAGTTACAACTGAGAATGGTCTGGTTTTAACCAGGCTAGGTCAGACCACCTCCTGAAGTGGTGTGAGCGATCGGATTCAAACCCGTCTCGAATGCATTTCGGAGGGCATTTACACCTGGTCTTTTCACGATTGGATAGCTATCCGATCTGACAAAAACGCATGAAGTGGCCAGGTGTAAACAGCCCATACGGCAAAAACCTCTACCTGTGAGTTGCCGGGGAAAGTGCAAATTGCCTTCTAAAGGTTACACGGTTGTTGATGGGCCCTGTTTCTCACGACGTTTTCTTTTTACTTGTTTTTTTACATTTATTTTTATTGTTTGTGACATGTCCTGTTTTGTAGACTTGCTCTTTATTTATTGTTTTTTATACTGTACAAACAGTAAAACATGTACTGTTCTATAGACATGCTCTTTATTTATTTATTTTATACTGTACTTAAACATGTCCTGGTCTGTAGACATGGTTATTATATATTTATTCATGTTGTACCTGTCCAATATGACTGTCAGTTGAAATAAACTGTGTTGTAAGAAAACTTTTTACGTTTTATTTGTTATGAATCTATTTTTGATGCGTTTTCTCATAAATTTTGTAATTTTACATGTTTAAAAATGTCGAAAATAATATCGACATCCCAATATTCATTATCGATATCGCAATATCAGATTTTTTCAATATCGTGCACCACCTAATATATATATATATATATATAAATAAACATCCCCCAACCACCGCGCCACCGTCGGTGGTTGGTCCATTACAAAAAAAACTGCCACCTTCACAGCCCTAGAAACAATTAAGGACCAATTTAATAAGCAAACTTGTTTTTGCTTATTGGTGCTCTTTCCTCTCAGTGTTTTATGGATCGGAATCTATTAGCGGACACCTTTTGACTTTGTGTTTGCATGAAAAAGAAAAAGGGAGAACCAACTACACAGAAAATTAAAAACTGCCTAATACCGTGTGGTATTCAGAGCAAAGAAGAAATCTCCAGTTCTGAGTCATAAGACATTGTAATCTATTCGGCTAAAGCGCTTGACATTTCAGTGACATTTTCGCTTGGTCTCCACCCAACGGTGGTCAGCAGAGATGAAAGAAAGCATTCACCTGTCACCTGTGAAAGACCACTCCAAAATCTCACTACTTCATCAAATCTCACGGCAGACATCCAACTTCACTTCTACTGCCGTCCCAAAGAACATCACGGTAAACCAGACGGCCAAAATTCCTTATTCCCATCTTCAAAAGACACGTTCCAGAGCTGCCGCTCTGGTCTGGACAATTTATTTTCCACAAACAACTTATAAGATACTTCTAACCTGTAAAATAAACAAAGACACCAACAGACAACAGCAAAGCTCTTTGCAAACACATAAAATGGCTAACAAACAACACGTAGTGTGATCCAAACAAAGTATAATTTAGATTTCAATCTAACATCCAAACTTTTGCTTAATTTTCTGTCTATTGCCTGATGCAGATTTTGTCCTGCAAAGGAAAACACCCCCATAAGGCATCATATTCCACTGACGCATCTGTTACTGCGATAAATATCCAATACGTGTGACATTTACAGCTTCAAGGTTAGTGTTATGATCAAACTGTAGCTAACAAGGTATTGAAAAGGTCATGTTTGGGTTTGCTAGTCCCTGTTATGTAATCACCTCGCATTGCTGTCTTTTACAGGATCTCTTTCTGATGAGTCAAACTTTTTCTCAAGAAAAATATACGTTAGGTAAAAATTGCAAAGTAAAATCTAAATAATTACAGCAAGTTCACCCCAAAATGAATATTCAATCCTTATCTTGCCTATTCACCTTTATGTCATCCAAAACCTGTAAGACTTTCGCTTTCGGTGGATCTCAAAAGGAAATTCTGAAGAATATCATGATCACTCTTTTATATTCAGTTACAATGAACAAAGACTGAAGCTTTCAAGCTCCAACAAGGACACAAAAGTAGCATAAGAGCCCATATGACACACTATATTCCAAGTCATTTGTGTGAGAAACAGACTATGTTATTTGATATTCAAACAAAACAAATCATTGAGCCAGCAAAATGAAGTGATTCTTGTACAAATCATTTAGATTTTAAACCAGACCAAGTGATTTATTGAAAAGATATGACTGAAACAAACGATTCTTTGAGGAATCAGACATCGCTGCTATTCTCACCATGGAGAGAAAGGGCTAATGTCAAGAAGATCTTCCATTAATACTTACATTTATGATTATTTCTCACACAAATTTGTGTATGGGTTTAAGATTTGGAAAATACCACAAAAGTCATATGGTGCTGCTTGAGAGTCTGTATTTGTTTTATGTTTGTAACCAAACTGTTGTTGGGGCATCTGACGTCTTTTCCATACAATGGAAGTCAATGGTACCCCACAACTGTTTGAAGAATATCTTTCTTTGTGTTCAGCAGAACAAAGAAATGTTTACAGGTTTGGAACAACTTGAGGGTGAGTAAATGATGACAGAATTGTAATTTTTGGGTGAACTATCCCTTAGCCACCACATATAACAAACCAGCATCGTAGCGAAAAGAGTTTTGCGCAGCAACAAGAGGATAACTGTTCCAGATCTGCTGAATATTTTGCATCTCAACTCAACTTGAACTGTTAAGTAGTCTATCTGATGTGGGCTCTTTCCTGTGTGCATGTGTGTAGACATTTGCAGTAAGCTCTGTCTACTCTAAATGTAGCTGAAATGCAAAGTACATGGCTGGTGAACAACAAGTCCTGACTGGGTAATTAAAGAGCTGGGAAGAAAAAAAGGCAAGGCAGACGGACTGGAAACCACTACCAGCCCTTGAAGAAACATCTGTGTTAAAGGAAAACAAGGTAATTATATGGAAAGTGGGAGGAACTGCTAAAGTATTTTGCCTTCAGAGAGAGGCGCTTTGTCTGCCACTGCAGCATCCTTCTGTCCAAAAAAACCACAATAGTGGAAGACTACAACCAGACCTCTCCATGCATGCGTTCTGCATATATTTCAAGTTTGTAGTGGCTTTCTGGATCTTTCTTTCACCTCGTTTTTCTCATCTTGATGAAAAAAAGTTAAATTTCTCTAACAAATTTACTTGTTTTTATCCGGTTCACTACCACTGTCAGGAATTTGATATTTCAAGGACGCTTCCGGACACAAACTTTCCTGTAGTAGACTAGGCCATTATCTTAAAAGTCTAGCACATATGAAACCCTCTGCAATGACCAGACTTCATTTTTCATTGTGAAAGTAGTCTAAGTCAAAGAAGAACCAAAAATACTAAAATATGCCCTGTAGCAAATTTGCACTTTCTTCTACTCTTCACTTCAATAAACCAGCCGAGATATGAAGCCTACTATAGGTAAAGAAAAATGCTGATGACCCGGCTCTTCTAAAGCCGATAACAACCGGAGAAAAGCTTTGTGTTGACAGATGCCTGGATGGAAGGAGCTCACTGACAGACAGAAACTGAAATGCAGCAATTTATAACAACTATTCTCAGCATTACCACAAGAGGTACTATAGAGTCCATTAGCAAAAACTGTACATTTCAATTTCTCTTTAAGAGGTGTGTTTCCCAAAAGCATCGTTAGCCAACTACAAGTTCTGTTGTTACCAACATAGTTCAACATTGGCGTTTCCCGAAATCAAACCAGGGTGCGTTTCCCGAAAGCATCGTTAGCCAACTATGGTCGCAACTTCCGTCGTTATCAGCATAGTTCAACGTGTCGTGTTTCCCGAAAACATCGTTCCGACAAACATTCGCAAACAGCATCAACCTGTGGCTAGAAGCATCGTTTCTTGTTATGACATGTAGACTCAAATCCTAATCTTGAGCAAAATAAGCAAGCTGACATTCAGTACTACCTGTATCTTTCGTAAGAACGAGCCTATGATTGAATCTGAAAATAAAGCAAAATAACTGAGAAGTATGAGAAATAGTCCTCAGATGCCATGTCCATAATTTATAGCAAAACATCTAGCATTAATGCGATCTCAAAAAGATTCATTAAAAGTAGTTATTACTCCACCACGTGCGTGAATTCATTAACCAACGGATTGAACGACCAATATGCGACAATACGGTTTCGGGAAACAGTTGTGACTAGCTAGTTGATTTCTTTCTTTCTTTCTTTCACAATGGCGACAAAAATAGTGAAGTAGTTTTCAAATGCCATGTTTGTTATTCACAGCAATAATCTGGCATTAAAACAATCTCGAAACAATGAATTAGCCTAAATTAACCATGTGTGTGGTGCCATGGTATTAACATCTGTTCTATAAAGTTAAATCAACATGGTTCGAAAGATGGTTTTGGGAAACAGTCGAGAATAGCTAGCTAACCATCGATGCATGATGGTTATAAGCAGGGAAACACCCCATGTCAAATACCATCATGGGAAAGCAACAGTTTGAAAAGATTTGCACTAGGAAAATGTGGGTCTTTACATGTTAAATGACAATGACACATTTGGTTTAACAGCACAGGCATTTAAAGCTAATTCTAACGCCCCCTTTGGTTTTGCTCAGACTTTTCAGATTTTTTTGCCATACACATGACATAATTCGGTTTAGTTTTTCCTAGTCTGAACAGCAAAAAAATAAAAAACTGATGTTTACAAACCTCATCCAAATTACAGTTGGGACAACATGTATAACATCATAAAAAATGCAAGATTGTCAGGAGCCATGTCCAAATTCACTAGTATTTGCTGACTTTTCCCTCAAATTGCTAACTAGTACATGTACCATCCTATGTCAACATATCAGATATTGACTTTGCTGTCTGAAAAAGAGGATCAGATCTCTCAACAATTGCAAAAAATGGCCTGCAAAACAAAGACGAAGAAACCCAGTAACTCACCTTTCTGGCAATGGTTGGAGGTCCAGCATCTGTAATTGTCATTCCTGTTAAAGTTGGTCTTGATACACTGAAGGTTGTCCTCCATGATTCCCGGACAAACATTTCCACACTCCTTGGACTGTTTATTTCCAGCAATGTAATTGTTCAATTCGGCATTCATAATGAGAGACCAGTCTACAGAATCTAAGTAGCAGAGCTCGGGATTCTTCTCAATTCGTATCGCACCCCGTGTGATGTTTCGCAGGTTGTAGAGGCCGATGTCCTTCAGGCTGGTCAGCTCAAATATGACCAGGGCGTAGTTGTAGAACAAGTTACGACCCCGGATCACAGCAAGATTAGGAAAGAGGGTGCTGAGGCTGTCCAGCCCGGATACACGGAAGAGGAGAAGGTAATCCGTAATCATGGTCAGTTTGGGGAAACTGAGGGTGCGGAAGAACTCCTGGTTGTTATTGTTTTTGCCTCCGATGAGGAGGATCTGCAGGTATCCCTCAACCACTGTACAGTTCTCCAGCCGCTTGAAATTACTGATGTCATTGCCAATGTCAATGCCTGGACCACAGACTGGAAGGAGGAAAACAGAAACATTCAGAAGATAATCAATGCAATTCAACAGTAATATTGAACAGTCACAGGTAGCAAATGCTTTCGAGAGGTTTTAATGATGCTAAAAACTGACCTTGAATATTTGAATGAATAGATTGATTCATGGAAATGTTACATAATAATTTGCATCGCAACCGTCAATTTACTTATAAATGTGTCATTCCAAACCTGTGTGACTTTCGTTCTTCAGTGAAATGCAAAAGAATACATTTTGAAGATATCTTGGGTTCCAATGTTGTTTGCACCGGAACGTTCCTTAAAATATATTTTTTTATGTTTCACTGAAGAATAATATAGGTTTGAGAGTGAGTAAATTACGACAAAATGTAGGTACCAAGGTACACAAAAGCATTTACCAAGCGCTAGTCGCAAGTCGAATGATTTAGGCCAAAAAAACTAACACTTATTTACTGACTGTCAAGCCAGAGATGTGAGAGAAGTTTCAACCAACTGCAGTTTTTCTTCTGCTACTGACACACTGCTATGACCCATGAGGGAGCCTTTATAAGACAGATTTTTGTGTTTTTATGACAGGTATCCTGAGACAGACATCTCTGCTTTCACTACCACCCATTATGCTGTTTATTTTCCACGGCGTGATTTGCCCACAGGCAAAACACAAAGAAAGAGCTAAAAAAAAATGAACCCTGGAAAATGCAATAAGATAATTATAGAGCTCTTGAATTATAGAGCTTAAATTAAACTTTAAAAGATAACATTACCTAAAAGTTTATAACCCTTTAATTCTTAGATAATCTCAGAGAGAAAAGGCCCACTCCTTGCTCTTGAATGTCCTTTCTTTTTATAGGCAAGTCATCCTTAAATTCTGATTCTAACAAGTGTGCATTGCTGTATTATATTCATTATGCTAGAAAACAGAATTAAGCTTTGGCAAAAACGAACATCTTTCGCCACGCTGGAAGGCAGACAGCACCCAGTCTGTCTGCGGACTCTAACATTTTCACACTGCTGAGTAAACACTGCTATCTTTATTGCTTTGATGGCTCTCCAAATCTCATGTTTACATTTGATAACCCAATTCCAGCCCACCATTGCGAACTCTCAAAGGTAGCAGAGTGGAGGCATTTGGAAATTAGGTCATAAACTGATGTCACTGTTTAGAAATGAAGCAGGAGGGAAACAAAGCTTTTAACCCAAGCTAGTAAATCCTAACACTTGAAATTCTACAACAAAACAGATCGCAACAGAATGCGTTCATATGGACATGGGATACAAAACCAAAAAGCAAGAAGGCCTCATATTTTTGCTAACAGAAGTTCAGACAGTACTTTCTCTGCTCATCATTTCAATGCTGACATCAAATGTTTGTATCTTACATACATTACAAATATATTTCTACAATTGTTTACATTTGTATATTTACATTTGTCCCATCAAATATGTCTTGATAAAATGGGGTAAAAAAAGATTTAACTTTTAAAAATAGCAATCATATTAGTTTAAAGGAACAGCTCATTAAAAATGAAAATACTGTCAACACCTACACACCCTCAAGTTGTTTCAAACCTGTATGAATTTATTTCTTCTGCTGAACACAAAGGAAGATATTTTGAGAATTTCTGTAACCAGACAGTTGATGGACCCCATTGACTTCCATAGTAGGAAAAAAAATACTATGGAAGTCAATGATGTCCATCAACTGTTTGGTTACCGACATTCTTCAAAATATCTTATTTCGTGTTTAGCAGAAGAAAGAAACAACTTGAGGGTGGGTAAATGAAGACAGAATTTGCATTTCTAAGTGAACTATTCATTAAAATCACAAAAACAAATAAATGAACATGGTGTGAATTTTAAATATCCACAACAAAATGGCTTAAAATAAACATTAAAGGTATTTCTTTTTATTTATATTTCTCTAAACTAAGCATATTGGGGATATCGTTTTAAACTTGGAATCAATTCGTAGGTTTTCCTTAATATCACTTTTTAGTCTTTTCTAAAATCCCTAACAAAAGCTAATTCTTTTATGACATCAACCTCTAAGAAATGATATCGTTTTTAGAACTAAAACAACAGCACAAACATTAGTATAAGCAATTCATTTGATGAGTTATGTGATGCTTTTTTGGAACTCTACAACATTCCAATCCTGTTTGATAGAATTACAGATATTGCTATTAAAATATTGATTAAAAAAATTTTAAACTGACAAGTAGATTACGAGAATCACTCTGTGTATTTATAGAAAGACGCAAAAACTGCTTTAACCCAATCAAAAATGCAAATCAACTAATAAACAAATCGTTTGATGTCGAGATAAATCAACCAGTTAACCTGAACCACATTTATGCCCCACTGGGAATCTCTAACCGTCCTGTGCCAAGAGAGACAGGTTATACTTAGGATTTCCACTAAGAACCTCCTCTGCCTCACTACCTCGCTGCCCTGCAACCGCTGGGGTTAACAGTAACACCCAATTACACAGACTTCACAAACTCCTCACTCTTCCAATCAACAAAACCGGGTCTGTTTTGCTAGAGCGGGTGTTTTTGCATGTTCTATTTTAAAAACAGATTTTTTTCCCTTCTCTCTCTCGATGAATCGGATGAATCAGGGGGTCTTTATTTGCAGTTTACTTGGAAACATGGAAATTTTGTGGTGGTCAAACATTAAGGGGAAGCAAAAATTGCTTTTTTTGTAAGAACTTACTGGGTTATTGATTTTAAAGAGACGAAAAATATCTTACATGTTTTTCACATACGTATTGGGACAGTTTTAGTATAATTGATGAACGCAAGACAGTTTTGCTTGGAAAAACAGAAGCAAATTTGCATAGCCCATGTGGGGTTAATCTAATAATAACAATGACTATGCAATAGTTAATTTTCCAAACCCAACACAGCATGAACAACATGAGACATACAGTAACAAGTAAACAAACACGCCCGTACAGAGCATGTCCTGGTGTTTTCTCTTTTAAAATCACTTTCATTTACTGGCAACCACATCACAGCGTCCAATGTATCCTAACCTAACAGAGACCAGCCCTTCCCTGACAGCAATCTTACAAACTGTAACCAACCACGCTTATATCAATATTATCTGTTAGTTACGTTAACAAATGATAAACTCTGGCCAATTTTACCAGCCCTTAACAGATAGCCTAATAGTTAGTGACATTTATGTGGTTTATCAAACTTTACATTAAACAGTTGTGAGACTACTCAAGTTGAACAAAACAAATTAAAACTGTTTAGGAAGATCAAACGCTTGCAAAGAGAAAACGAGAAGGTCAAAACATTAGTAGAGGATTAAAAACCAGAACTTAAGTACTTAAAAAATGCACTGAGTTTTAAAGTCTGATTTCCAGAGTATCTTATATGAAATAAAAATGATTATTGTTTTAAGGACTGGCTTAGGGATAACCAAGATAACCGTGAACGCTCTCAGAACTTCCCTAACATTCTCTGGCAAGTTTCTCGCAAAGATATAAACAAACATTCTTCCAGTAACATAATGTTCGTTTAAGGTTATCTGGTCTTTAACGTTATCAAAACAGTAGCACACAAATGTTATGCATTCATCATTCATGGAACGTTTTCCTGAAACATTTTAGTTGGACGTTAGTCTACTGTTTTTTAAACGATAGGCTACTACTAAAACGTTCAAAAGTAACGTTCCCATAACATTTTCAAAATGAGAAATATAGAAAGCCTTCCCCTCATGCTTTCTCTAACGTTCACATAACATTTTTAAAACATTTAAAAAAACTGAATGTTGAACATTCAGAAATAATGTTTTCATAACTTTACGGTAACATTAGCAAAAACGTTCTTAGTTTGAACATATTTTTGTTAGCATGGAAATAACACATGCATTTAACTTCTAGTCTATTAAAGAACCTGTTGGTTTAATTACTTAAAACAGATACTGTCAACAAAATCTCCCATGCTGCTATAACATGATCATGATAACTCAAGTCTGACTATCATACTTCTGCTAAAGTATAGATCTATATCTAAAGTTGCACATGATGGCACTTGTAAAACACAAATACTATATTCCAGAATTATTTGATAGAAGTAAAATACCTATGAAATTACCATTTAAATGGCAGTGGTAGCATGACTTTGTTTTTTTGTTTTTTTTTACTTTGCATAACCAAAGCAAACTGTGACGCATGATATAAGCGTGTTCCCATGTATTTTCTATTATGAAACATTTAAATCAAGGAAAGCAGGGAACACGTGCATTTAAGTGAAAAGTAACAGGTTGGTCTGAAATTTGAAACAGTTTTCTTGCCAAAGCTTAAAACATCATTCATTACACATGTGAAATCACAAAGCAAAAAAATTAAAGTGAAGGTTTTCTTAGACCAGCAACAATTATATGTTGCTCTAATCCATATGCATTCACTATAACTTACTTTCTCCATGACAGAGTGTGGAGAGGACCAGCACCAGACCACAAAACATGGTCCAATATCGCCTCTGTCTGCTAGACCTCATTCCTATACAAAAACACGGCAAACACTAGTTTAAAAATATATATATTACAAAATAGGGGAGGCAGCAATCCTTCAAAGTAGATGATGCTTGACTCTTGAAGTCTTCTCAGTACAAAAATATGATCAAAGTTGGTTTATCCAACTTAGTGCCTCCTTATGGAGGGGGTGAAAACAAAAATATAGATAAACATGAGCTGGAAATAATCAAACAAAACCAAGTTCTTCCATCTTCATGGTGTTTTGCTGGGATAAATGATCCTCCAGACACCCCAGCGAGATTCTCCAGCAGACTCAGCCCGTTATGCCCACACCATGAGGCGGATTCAACCGCACTGATTCTCGGGCTCCTTAAACGTTTTAAATATTATTTTTTACAGCTTCTCCTTGTCGATTTATGTGAAAATAACCAAGCAAAACACGTAACGGCTTGATAATCCGCAATTCCCTGCTCCATGGCGTGGGAAAAATGGGGAAAACACGTTGCAGGTCTCCTCGCAGGCTGGTTTTCGCTGGAGTTGAGTGAAACCCGCTCGGGTCCGCTGGCTAAAACAGTCTGGACGAGTGTGTGTAAGTGTGTGTGATCTTCATCAGCTGCAAGATGCTCTGTACTTCTCATCCAGCGTTTTTAAAGGCCAAAAATCGGTGAAGAAACTCAGAAAGATGCCAAATAATATTCGTCCAGGCTTTAAAATGGTCTCTCTCAGCCTCCCACCATCTTCAGTCTGAGATTTCAAAGCTTGATTTTTCTCTTCAAAAAGCGGAGTATGGAGGGCACATATGATTTTTGAGGGATCGGATCGGTGTTCATTTAAGAGATGTGAAGGATGTGGAGTAGATCATGTAGTCTCTCTCCGTTGAGTTGACGCTGTAAACAAGGCTCGATCTCTCTCACACACTCATGCACTCAAACGCATAGTAGGCTAACGTTACGTTGGATAAAGGTGTGAGGGAAAACCCGGGCTGGATCACACACACACGCAGCAAAAGGGATTTGGATCTGATTTTGGAGGTTGCCTGGACTGGTGAAAAACACTGCTACTGGCGGTGTCAATACCTTTAGCTGCCTACATAGACATGTAAGTGCTTCATAGGTGCTGCATGCACTCTTGTCAAGTGAAATATTTATTTAGCCTACTTATTTATTACAATTCACAAGACATGTATATAGTTAATCAAAACAAATATTTATTATAAAATGTTTATTTATTTAAATTAGACTACAATTACACAAATAAAAAAAACATGTATTATAAAATGTTACTTATTTATTTATATTACAATTAAAAAAAATAACATATTATCATATATTCAAAAGGATTTTTTCCTAAAATTGCTACTACAGTCTCAAACAGTAAACACAGCAAGTTTATTGTAATGCCTCTTTTGGGAAGATGCAACACGTGTAATTTAGTCTCACTGTAATTTTGTCTCACAAAGGACTGTGTTCTGCCCGTAGGAAAACACTCATGTAACATGATGTCATAATATGACATCATTGTTTTATCCATTAATTAGTGTAAATTGACACAGCCCGATTTTGCATGTTTCATGTGTATTTTTTTGCAGTAATTGTATGAATACCAAACATACTTTTAATAGTATTTTAATGTTAAAATAATACTATCTATTGGATTATCACATAAATTAATGGCTGCCACGTTTGGCACTTAACTATTCATGTTGAAATCCATAAACAGTGCATCAAAAATATAATTCTTAATATTTCAGATTAAAACATAAGCCAAATGAAAGATTATAATAAAATAAATTAAATTTTTATACTTCCAAGATAAATGTTACATTGTTTGTATAAAGTAGTTTAAATAGTTTAAATTGGTCATTATGTACTTTAAATAGATTTTGATTTGGTTTTAGATCTTTGGTTCAGGTTGATGTCAGTCTATTCCTCATTGAGTCATTGCTCAAATAACAACCGGTTTGGGTTCCTGAAAGCAATATTAAATCAAAACCAAGAGCAATTGCTTTGGGCTGCTCAACAAATTATATACATTTAACACTGACACATTATGAGTTAAAACATCAAAATGAATAGTCCAAGTATCACTTGTTTTCTATGAGACATTGCAAAATAGAAGACTCTACGAATGACACACCATCTACTCGTACCCAACATGTCTATACAAGGAGTTTACAGACTAAGGAAACATTTTTACATAGTTAATATGGTCATTACGTCCTTTAAAGAGATTTTGGTTTAGTTTTATTTTTTGGTTCAGGTTGATCTCAGTCAATTCAGGTCAAAAATCTTTGAATTCACATATTTTAGACATAGGCTATTCTAGAGATTAGAATATATAAATATCTCCCTTCCGATGCTGAATATCATAATTTAACCGTGTGGCTGATACGATCCGTTTTCAAACAAACAGGAGATAGACAGTGCAACAAGCTCAGGGTTTGTTTGGATGTTGGTGGTCCTTTCTCTAATGAAACAAGAAAAGCTTTTTTGCTGAAGTATAATCTGTGACAGTCTTGATTATCAGCATAATTACAGAGCTCTTTCGGCCCAAAGAGGAGAGCACAAAAGAACTGTGTTAACGCGGCACAAATAACTCGATCCTGGCACACACATTTAAGCTCCTGTCACATTTCGAAAATTATAGGGAGAGAGCACACATACACCCATTAAACAATGGACTGTACATCCACGGCCACCCAAGACTACAACTACTGCAAACCAGCCTTGAACGAGCACAAACTGTACCAACGTGCCCTTCCGATCTCCCCCTCCCCTTTCCACCCGCTGAATGTTTTGCCTGTCCTCTTGCATTTGTTAAATCCTCATAAACCGTCCCCATAAAGACGGCATACAGCCCACCTACCTCGAGCGCCTCTTGTTGGTTTAATTCTCTCTCTGCGCTCAAGTGGAAATAAGTGCTTATCACCAGCGGGTCACACATGCTAATGAGTGACTGTTTGTTTTTGAGGAGGAACGGAATTCGGGATGAGAAGGGAAACATTATATAAGTGCCTGAATCCAAATATCTCTTTACACTTTTAAACTTAAAGGGTTAGTTCGCCAAAAGATGAAAATTCTGTCGTCACCCTCATGTCGTACCAAATCCGTGAGACTTTCATTCATCTTCGGAAGACAAATGAAGATCTTTTTGATGAAATCTGAGTGATTTCTGTCCCTCCATTGACAGCTATACAACTACCACTTTGACGCTTCAAAAAGTTCATTAAGAGATCGTAAAACTAATTCATATGAATTGAACAGTTTTCATTAAGGCTTTTATTCACATTAAACATTAAACATTTAACAATTAAGCATTGTTCAGCGCACATAAACACACTAAAAAAATGACTCTTTAAACTTACTCAATTTAATTATGGACAGTGGTTCCACACAAGCAAATTATTTTTTATTAACATTAATGGAATTTGTTGAATCTATGTAAGCTCCTTGTGTTGTGACAACACAACTGAATCAGAAAGAATCTATGTGAAATAGTAATGTCCAAACAAATCAATGGAATTGCTTCCCTGTAACTGATACAGACTTAACTGAACCGATATAGACTTTCATCGAACCTTCGTACAAGGTTAAAAACTAGTTTAACTGTGGCCATTGTGAACATATTTTCAACATCATTTATGGTCTCATTTAGACAGAATTACTTTGACTATTGCTGTCAGATGATCTTAGTGAGAATTAACAGAAGTTTAGATGTTGATGTTTCATTTGAAGTGTCACCATTGTGGTGATGATCAGTGTTTGCTTTAGTTGGGCTCTTGGTCCCCTTAATTTTTACTTTAGCTTTTCTGTGGCTGCTGTATCTCTGTGTTTGTATAATACAGTCGATGTTGCAAAGAAAGTCAAGAATAAGTAAGATCAGGGGGCTGTTCCATAAACCAAGATTAGAGTATAAGCCAGGCTTATTTCGGTTAGTCAGGCTTATTTTTGGTAGATTCGGTTTCATAAATCAAACTTAAAAAAGTTCAAACTCAGTTACCCTGGCAACTTATGCTGGGAAACTAGCCTGGTCCAGGGCAGGCTAACTGTCAGGCTAAGCCTCAGTTGTTACACAGATCCTCAACACTGACCGACAAGAACACAATGATATTACCACTGACAGTCTCTAATACCATTATTGGACTTTATAAATACACAGTATACAGAAAATCAACTTAAATAAGGCTACAATATAGACACATATATAAGGCGTTTTAAAGTTGTCCGTTTAGGACATGTCATTTTTGTAATAAAGACATTTTAATTAAGGAATGCCTCGGTTATCAGAGAATTCTTTTTTCTACACTGTCTCATATATATATATATATATATATATATATTATGTACTTTATTATGTCTTTCAATTCAAACACATTTAACACAATTATACAAATGGACAGTTCCTTTAAAGACATTATTTTCCCCCAATATTCCTTATTTTTCCTTCTACTTTTTTTTCTTTTGTGATAATACCAACACATACATATAAATAAAACAATAAATAAATATTAATAAAAATATAACATTCACATATATCAAACTCTTATAATGAATGACACATAATTCCTAATAGTTATTCAAGTAATATTATTTAAATATCAAATATTCAATATTAAATAAGTAGATAAATAAAATTACAAATAACTAGAAATAAAAGGGAAGGTTACATAAAAATGTAGTAAATGTAGGCCAATATATATTCCTTTATTTTATGGAATATTCTTTGATTTTAGAGTTGCACATATCTTTTCAAAATGTATACATTTGTTCTTAATTTAATGTTATCCTCTCCATAATGTACTTTAGAAACTAAATCTAACCACTCATTTAAAACTGGGGATTCTTGCTTTCTCAAAAAATCATTGCATTAAAAGCTGCAATTCTCAGCATTCTAAATAAGTATAGGCCTATATCTTTATTAGCATAGGTCCTATACCCAAAACTATATTTTGTATCTTTATATATTTAGTTTCTTAAAAAAAATCTTCCCTGAATTAGGCTACTTCTGTTCAATTTTTTTTATTTAGGCCTATTAGAAGTATAAAATGAGTGTAATGAGCTAGAAGTTCACTGCAACTTATCCAACATCCTAAAGAGAAATTATTATAATTAGAAGATATTTCTAGTGTTCTAAAATATCGCATTTTAATTTTCCAAGCAAAATGTATATTTTTTAATCAGAATTATTGCGCTCCTATTTGGCGCGCATGCGCGCAGCAGCGCTCGTTCAATATGAAGATTAGCAGCAAAATGGATACATTTGCACGACTTTCTATCATTTACAGATGGAGAATATAACTGTAAAATGTAATTTTTGCACTGAGGGGGAAAAAAAAAACATGTCACAAATGCATAAAACAGCACAAAAACTACGCTGTTTGATGATGGATCGATTTGATCCACGATCGACCTCTAGGGCTGCTTCAGAAACGCGTGCACACGCAATTATCTAGACTAGATAAACCTGGATCAAATTAGTGAGATTGTGTGAACTTCAATTACCTTTTATGGAACCACTTTAGCCCCAACTTATTTGTTAGGCTCATTCAAGTCCGGTGTTGGAGTTTAATCCCCGCTTTTCTAAGCTTCATTTATGGAACAGCCCCCAGGTCTTATCAGCTTCATGTTGACGTTGATGATGAAAGCTTCACAAAACATTCATCTAATGTTGTCAGACACTTTCGCATTTCTAGCCGCCACCATGTGGATCTGCAATACTGGCACCAATAGCATTTTTATAATCACTTATTTAGAGGTGGATAAAAATTATGTGCATACGATGTTCAGAGCAAACATATCATGTTGTCACACACGGACATCAAGATTTTGCATATGATTCACAACAATGGTGACAATAAAAAAGGTCATGCTGCAATGCATGATGGGTAGCTTTCATAGTTCAAAACTCATCATTGATTCCCAAGCTTTTTTGTTTTGATTGTCACCGTTG